AGCAGCGGGATCCCGGACCCGGAGCTTTCCGGGAACCGCCTGGAGAAGACACCCTGGGCTGCTGGTAGGCCCTTGAGCCCTCCTGACCCGGTAAATCCGGGCAGCAGCCGCGCCTCTGCAGGAGCTGGATATGGGGCAGGGACAGAAGGTACAGGCTTCACAAGGCACCCAGCATATTACTGATATTTCCACCGTAATTCTTATTATTATCCCGCGCCAGGCTCTGTGCCTCTTTTATACCATTAAAATTGAACCCTTCCAGCATATAACTGCATTATGGTGGAAGCGCAACTATTGCATTCCTCACTGCTGTGATTTATTGCTTATGGGGGTGAGGAAGTAACATCACCAGGTGCACCCAGCTCCTGTCTTTGACCAGTTTATGGATTGGATAGGAGGGTTGGTTTATGTCCTGGGAGCAAACTATCTGTGTTAGGGGGAGGTCAGGCTGGTGACTATATGACTCCTTGTGGTTGCAATGTTGATGTTATGAGGAACAGCTTTGATCTCCTGAAGATCTGCTTGTTTTGGTGGCAGAATCTCTAGGGTCTGCAAGGTCATTTCCTGGAGCTGATACTCTCATACTAAAAACGTTTCTGAGAGCAAAGCCTACATGAATCATACCAGTTTTTTTGTGGCTGGACCTCACACAGAAGCTGGTGAGATGGAGTTCATTTCCATCCAGCACTTCACAGGAGATGGTAGGAGCTATGCTATCTTTCCGCCCATGGGCTGACTGGACTCCTAGCTCTGGGCAGGATTTGTGGAGAGGCTCGTGTGTTGTTCCCCAGCTCACCTGCTGCCGTCTTCACCAGGCTCGTGTGTTGTTCCCCAGCTCACCTGCTGCCGTCTTCACCAGGCTCGTGGTTGGTGCTGGAGGACAAGATAAAGGGCAGGAGCAATTCCAGTGTTGCAGCTGCCTTTTGTGGTTCCCTTTCCCTCTACAGATTGAAGAGCTTCTGAAGGAGGTGACATTGAAGGAGATGAAGATTGATGCCTTCCTCCATGAAATTAACAGCCTGCTGAGTGCCATCCCAGAGACATCAGAAACTGAAGTATGTCCCAGAGGGATGGAGGAGGTGGCAAGGCCCCTGAGCAGAGCAGGCTCTGCTGTTGCGGAGCAGGCTCTGCTGTTGCTGTACAGGCAGAGGTCCCTGTGGAGCATCTCCCTTAGGGACTAAATATCACCTTGCTTTATGTTGGAGGGGAGAGGGGGATGCTCCATCTTTAAGCTCTGAGTGCAGGTGCTTGCGGTTGTGTGAGGAGAGGGGTCCTGGTTTCTGCACATCTGCTGTTGGTGATGCTTAGAGCGTTTCACATGTCCTGTCTATTCCTAGCTCACCGACCAGGCCTGGCTTCCCAAGGGCATGAAGGTCCCATTCCTGCAGGTGCCGTTCAGTGTGAAGGGGAGGTTCTGTTTCCTGCCCCCAGCCAAGCTGAAGGTGGTGGGCAGCTACCTGCTGGGCACCTGCGTTAAGCCGGAGATCAACGCGGATGTGGTGGTGACCATGGTGCGGGTGAGTCTGGCCATGCCTGCTCCCAAATGGCCTGGGGCCTGGCTGAGCTCCGTCACCTCCTGTCCCCCACAGCCCCTGCCTTGCCCTCTCCGTTCCTGAGTGAGGTTGCGGCATCTGGACATGCAGTGTGGTGACTCCCACGAGGAGCTGGGGAGTGCAGTCTCACTGCTCACTCAATCAGAGCTTTCAGCTGCTTTTAGTTCCTCATGAGGATCTTCCTTCTCTCTGCTTGGGCTGAACCTCTTCCACATTGCCAGGGAGATAGATGCTGTCCAGCTTTGTACCCCATTGCATTTCTGCCCCAGTTCCCAAGTCTGTGTTACAGGGAGGGTGATATTTGCAGGCCCCTCTAGAGTTCCCTCCCCTTTCTCCCGACCAACTTGGAGCTCCTTGGGGCTGTAGCCACATGTCTGAGATAGGGCTGCCTGTGGGGCCAGGGGGAGCAGTGGGTGGTGTAGTGCCTTGGGTTGAACCGGGCTCTGCAGGCAGGTAAGCTGGGATTGCTCTGTCCCTCTCTTCCCAGGAAATCTTCCAGGACAAAGATAACCTGAACCAGCACTACCACTGGAAGAGCGCTCTGTCCCTGGCCCACATTGCCCAGCACTTCTCCAAGGAGAAGCTCTTCGGCAGCGTGAAGTTTGCCTACGTGAACAGCAACCATCTCAAGCCCATCCTGCTCCTGAGGCCTCAAGGTAGCACTTGAGCCTTGCTCTGGTGGGGACTGTGAGTGGGTTAGTGGGCATTAGGTGGAGGGTGGTGGTGGTCTCATACCATGTAACAGGCCCTTTGGAGAGGAGTCAGCCTGGGGCTGTTGTCACAATTGGTGATAAATTTTGGAGCTTTGATGCTCCTAGTTGTCCTCTCCCTCCACACAGAGCCTAATCTTCAAGGTCTCTTCCCCTCCCAATCCCCCTCTGCAGCTTGGCTGGGCTCCCCAGCCTTGGCCTTGCTGGCTGGCCCACCCTGTAGGTACTTCAGGGAGTAAAGCAGACCCTACAAAAACATGTATGTCTAGCACTGTCCTTCCTCCCTGCTCTTCCCACCCCTGCTCCCCTCCATCCTCTTGCCTTCCCTAGGCAGCTGTGCGCAGCCTGGCTCTTATCTGAGATGATGTGGGATGCATGGGCTCCTGGGTGCTGCGCCTGGGAAGGCCAGGTAAGGCAGGAGAGTGCTGGGGTACCGGACTGGCCAGTGGGGATGAAGATAGGACTTGGACATGAGCAATGTGACATCAGGGTTATTGTTGGCTCTGGGATGTGGTCACTCTTGGCTCTGAGATGATGTCCACTGCTGCTGAGCTTTGCTGGGAAGGAGCTTTTTCCTTTCCCCAAGCTGGGGATGCTCCCTGCTTTCTCAAGTTAGTCTCTGGGTCTCTGACATCTCTTCCTCCTGCACGTCTACCCCCTGGTGCTTACAGGCAAGGATGAGAAGATGGTCACCGTCTGACTCCATGCCTGTCCTGTCCCAGGTCTCTTCAAACCCAGCCGCTTCTATCCCAGCAAGAACAACATCCAGACAGCCTGGTTCATGGAGCAGAGCACCCCCAAAGAAGGTAGGGCCTGGGACTAGGGGAACATGAGGCTGCTTGGTTCAGCCAGAGACTGCATGCAGTGCCTGGAGGTGGGTTCGCTGCAGCCCTTTCCTGTGAACAGGAGGTTTGTGGTTGGGTCCAACATGCTGTTGTCTCCCCACACAGGAGCCAACGAGCCCCCGACCCTGCACTACAACAACTCAATCCTCTGCAACACGGTGCTGCTGTCCCACCTGCACTTCTTGTCTAGCACAGCCACCGACTTCCCGGGTGCGAAGGATGGCCTGGCCCTTCTCAAAGTTTGGCTGAACCAGCGGCAGCTCAGCAAAGTACGTCCTGTGCCAGGGGACAGCGCAGGCTCTGCTCACCTGACTAACTTGCCTTTGGCCTGCTCTCCCTTCCTGGGTGGAAGGGTGGTGGTTTGGTCCTGGTGGGTGGTGTGGTGGGCTTGTGACTCTGATTTGAGCTGTGTTGCGTTTCAAGGAGCCCCATCCTACCCTGTGGGTTGCAATGAGTCTGTGTGTACCAGACAATCGTGCTTCTTTGAGATCCCTGGAATGATGTAGTGGGTTTTGGGGTTTGGTTTGTTTTGGGGGAATTCATACCATTTCCCAAAGAACTTTGAGGTGTTGCCTTCCTGCAAGGGGATCCATATCTCTGCTTGTTGCACAGGGCTTTGCCTCAATGTCTTCCTGGCTGGATTGGGGCTTGGGGGCTGCCCTGCTGGTGATGACAGAGGCCAGAAGCAGTCATGTGGGGTGGGCTCTGGGGCTCGTGGTGCCTCGTTGAGCTCTTGTTGACTCAGCCCTCTGTTTTCACAGGGCTTGGGGTGCTTCAGCGGCTTCTTGGTCTCCATGCTGGTTGCCTACCTGCTGATGAAACGCAAGATCATCAGGATGATGAGTGGGTACCAGGTGCTGAGGAGCACCCTGCAGTTCCTGGGTGAGTTTCCAGGGAAAGGCTGTTGTCAGCAGAGTCTCTGTACGAAGCCTGAATGTGGTGGGGAGAAGGGGGAATTGTGGTTTTTCTCCCTCTGATGCTGAGACCCTGTGGGTGAGATGGACAGATGGGTATGAGGCAGCAGAGCAGGGCTGGATGGAGCAGCTTCCAGAGGGGTGGGTAGTGGTGGAGGCCAGCATTGCATTGTAGCACTGTTTGTGTTGTGAGACCGCAATGGTATTGGCACGTAGCTGTACCACCCTCACCAGTGGGGGACATGTGGATGGTGGCGTGACTTGTTCCTTCCTGTCTGCCCACAGCCACCGCTGACCTGAGTGTGACAGGGATCAGCCTAGCAAAGGATGTGGATGCCTCTCTGGTAAGCAGCCCTCCGGGAGGGGCTCGTGCCTGGCTGTGCTGCCTGGGCAGGGATGTGCCTGTTAAAGGGATGTCGAACGGCAAAGAGGTGGTGGTGCCTTGGTGTCTGTGCTGCACCATGGCACTAAGAACTGTGCTTGCTCTTCCAGCCTGTCCTGGATGACTTCCACCATGTGTTTGAAGTGGTCTTTGTGGATCCCTCTGTACTGATATGACTGCCAGCAAATACCACCAGGTACCAGGCAGGTTGTGATGGCATCTTGAGATGCTGTCTTAGGAGCAAGCTGAGGCAGGCAGAGGGTGGTTAGATGTCTTGGAGGAAGATGTTGGATGTGGGGAGGGGTTCAGTGTTGCTTTTTAAGCTTTTAACATCCATCTTCAGTTCTGAAGCTTGGAAGTGAATTTTAAGACTTGGATGTAGTGCTGGCTTACCTGTTTTGCTTGAATGATGGAGGAAAGTTGTTTTCCTCTTTGTGGGCACCTTTGGGTGAAGCCAAGCAGCTGTTTAGCAGAAATAACTGTTCTTGGAGCAGAAAAAAAACACCTTGATGGCAGAGATATCAAAGAGGGACTGTCTGGCCAGCAGCGACAGCTGTCGATGACTTGGCTTCACACTGAGGACAGAGGCTGTCTGAGATCAGGGTCTGCTGGTGACTATGGAGCTGGGGTGGCCGTGGTTGATGGGGGAGCATTGGTGACCACTGCTGGAGGGATTTGCTTTCTTTCTCCCCTCCCATTCATGCTCTTGCTCTGTCTTCTTGCTCAGGTCCAGTTCGAAGCCAAGCGCTCCATGGAAATTTTGGATGATCGGATGGTGGATGGCTTTCAGGTGCTGCTCATGACTGCAAAGCCTGTGCTCAGAGCCTTTGACCATGTCTTCCAGTGAGTCTCTGTGCTGGCAGGGTAATGCTGAGGAGCCTGTTCAGAGAAGAATGGGCTGCTTCTGGCTTTGGACTGGGGTGGATGTGAACCTGCCTGGTAGGAGGTGGCCCTGCTAGTTTTGAGATAGACACTGGTGCCTCTTGCATTTGGCCATTCTGCTTTTACTGTCTAGATAGATAGCCTCCCAGGAGGAGGAGGGCAGTGCTTTGGCCTTTGGGAATGATGACTGTCCCAAGGACCAGCATCTCCTGTGGTGCATCCTGAGATGCTGAAGTGCAGTGTTTCTTCTTGTAGCCCCCATCCTGGGCCAGGACCCTCAGCTCCCCACTTTATCCATCCTCTAGCATATCTCTCTCTCAGAAAGGATTTGGTAGCAGGGGTGGGTGACCAGCTTCTCTCCTTCTCCTGTAGCCTGAAGCATGTCTCCAAGCTGCAGGGTGCCTGCAAGAAGATGCAGCTGCTGAATGAGCTGATGGATCGTGGTGGGAACTATGTGGCCGCAGCCCTTCCCTTTGTTGTCTTGCTGCTGGCCTGTGGGCTGGCCAGGAGAGCGCTGCTCATGACTCACTCCTTGCCCCAGATCCCTGAGGTAATGCAGCTTGGCAATGACACTGCATCCTTCGCAGCACACAGGGTCTCGTGTGTCCCTTGTGGCACTGCTGGGCACGGGGAGGGGATCTTTGCTCTCTGGGGGATGAGACAGGCCTGTCCCCTTTCTGGGGAATACAGGACCTGAGGCCCTGCACTGGGGTGTGGGGTGCAGCTGGGAGGCTTGGTCTAGGCAGAATTCCTGGCCCAGCAGTGGGGCAGGGTGAAAAGAACCGGTTTTCTCATCAGGGAGACCTATTAAATAAGGCTTTCCTTGTCCATGCTTGTCCAGGCACCCAAGAGCATGTAGCAGGAGATTCATCTAGTAGCCCGATATCCCAGCAGCTGCTGCTACAGCAACCTCATTTCTCCTTGTGCTTCATGTTCCCCATTTTCCTGCAGTGGCTGATTGACACTGAGCCCCCAAAACACAAGGATGTTGGGCCCCTGAGGTTTGGGCTCCTGTTTCATAGAACCATAGAATGCTTTGGGATGGAAGGGACCTTTAAAGGTCATCTAGTCCATCCCCCCTGCAATTGGCAGGGACATCTGCAACTAGATCAGGTTGCTCAGAGCCCCATCCAGCCTGGCCTTGAGTGTTTCCAAGGATGGGGC